TTTTTTTTTTTTTTTTTTTTTTTTTTTTTTTGTTCTTATAAACATAACCTTTCTGGTATGGAAGAAAATTGTTGAAACTAATGGAACAACCGCTTACATAAGCTATACTCACTCATTCAACCGCTTAAGAGTCTGTCACTCACTACGCTTTCACACAATCGTTCGGTTGTTTATCTAGTTTAGCCTGATTAGTACCACTGTACAAGTGCTGACGCTTTTCTGATGATGTCAAGCGGGAAATTTTTGACTTGTATTAGGATCACCATAGCTTGCTAACGTTCTTAAATGTACACAGATCATTTGTGCAAAAATCATTATCATTTGTCGAGCATCCAGAAAGATGACGATCAACAGTGACTAGCTTCCACCTATTCCAGTGCAAAAAATTTCTCACTGAGCCTTAGACTGTTTAAAACTAATAGGCATAAGCCGTTCCAGCTACTGCCATTCGCAGAGAACCCTATCAAGGTGTATAAAACCTATGCAGTCTTCAGCCTTTACATCTTTATAATATTTTAGCTTACCGGTCATTATGGATCTTTTCGTTTTGTCTTTACCATTCTTTGCCAATGAGCATAAAAAAACCAAGAACTTGAGGTAAAAAAGCGAGAAAGCCGAGAAGTTTACGTTTTTTTCCTTTTTCATTTCATGCCTTCTCTTAATTTTTTCTCATCTTTTCGTACTACAATTCACCAAAAATAATATTCACATCTTTCCTTCTCATCACTTTCCAGTAACCATAAAAAAATCTTTTCTTCGGATTCTAAATTTGAAACCATTAAGATTTTCTGTACTTTTTTTTTGAACTTCAACGGGATTTAGCTGAACAACTCCGTGGAAACGAAAAGATTGTTGGCCACAATAAGTGAATGGAAAAGGGGAGGGGGATGAAGAGGAGGAGCGTAGGAGAACAAAGGGAAGGGAAACAAAGAGAGATCAACATTGGCGATTATAGCGAATGAAAAGAATTCAGCAAAGGATTGAAAGAAAAGAAGTGCTGTAAGCAGCCCGGCAAATAGGCAGACAAACAAAGAAAGTGGAAAATTGGAAGGGTACAGGCAGGGAAATGGGATGAAACTTTTGCTTCGCATATGGTTATCAGTGCGACACTTGTAGTTGTTTTGCTGTTCTTTCTTCTGTTTGACTGCCTCTTACCTCTGCCATTTTAATGCTGTTATTGATTTTCTAGTTTTTTTTCACTTCTTTTTCTCCATTTTACACTGTATTTTCAACATTTGCTCATCTACTTTTGCTTATATATTTTTTTTCTGATCACCTTTACCCCTCTGCATCCTCTGTTAACACCTCTTCGTGCCTATCAACGCCTTGCAGAACAGTGAATTTTGCATAGAAGAGTAAGAGAGGGAAAGACAGCAAAAGCTAGAAAAAATGGAAAAAAAAACCGAAGCATAACAATCAATAAATATTCCTGTTGCTGATTGTTGTGTAATCTATACAACAGAGGGGAAGATAGAGAGAGGGAGGTACACAAAGAAACACAAACACAAACAGACACGCGCACAGACGGACACACTGACACACACAGACTACAGACGGCACACATACAAACAGACGCAGACGCAGACGCAGACATAATACACACACACACTCATATCGCTATCCATCCGTCCGTCCGTACGTTTTTGTGTGTGTGTGTGTGTGTGTGGGTCTGATTTTTTTTTTTGGCACAGTTTTGCGTATCCGCATTCATCCACCGTCCCGTCCCATCATTGCCCAGTAGGTTGATCCTCAAGTAGCTTTTTTATGTTTTGGTCGGCAGTCTTTCAATTGAGTTCAAAAAATAAATATATATTTTGGATCAACTTGCAAAGAAACTTTTTGGTGTTGTATGTGTAGAAAAGAAATTTGTAAGCGTTGTTTATTGAGTGAATTTTTGAAAATCTTAGCTGAATTAATTTCGTTGTTAAACTGCATAGTTTATTTATTTAATTTTTTCCTTTACTATCATCATCAACATTATCATCATTATCATCTGCAGCAATAGCGTTATTATCATCAGGGCAACAAGAAGTTGACGATCAAACTATTTATTCCATTTGCTATCGTTATTCGTTGATCCGAATCCATTTATCCATCCGTTTGTTCACCGCAATTATCTCTTGCATCAATACTATTTCAGCATCTAACAGTGCCGCTGTTTACTGGTTTTTCCAAATTTGAATCGACATCCAAATACACTGTTTGGGTGGATTTGTGTCTTGATGTTGGGCTGATTAGGCGTTAGTTTTTTTTTTTTTAATCGGTTTCT